TGGCGTTCGACCTCAGAGGCAGGTCTCTCGATTCTCGATTTTCGGCGTTCGACCTCAGAGGCAGGTCTCTCGATTCTCGATTTTTGGCGTTCGACCTCAGAGGCAAGTCTCTCGATTCTCGATTTTCGGCGTTCGACCTCAGAGGCAGGTCTCTCGATTCTGGATTCTCGGCGTTCGACCTCAGAGGCAGGTCTCTCGATTCTGGATTTTCGGCGTTCGACCTCAGAGGCAGGTCTCTCGATTCTTGATATTGGTGGTCATTCGATATTCATTTGGGGTCCCGATGCTCACTTGGAGGATTGATAACTATTTGGTGGCCGAGGATTTATTCGAATTGTAACCTCAGTGGCAGGTCGACGGAAACAATCCGAAGAGGAATTTCCACTCTTGGATCGAGTCATGCTTACTCGACCAGAGTGGGGGGGACTAGATGATATAGGATATTATACTGGACCCGGTTTATGGATTAAGCGGATACATATTGGAGGGTAAGCCCACTAAGACATTTAAGCCCAACTATAGGGGTCAAGCCCAACTTGGGCCTAAAAGGTACGCTCCCCCTATAAAAGGGGGCCAAGGTACCTCATTTTATCACACTCGATTGATTCATTACTACACTATCTCTCTCTTTGGATTGGAGACTGACTTAGGCATCGGAGGCCCGATGCCGGGGCCACCCCCGGCGTTGGGTTCTGCAGGTACGGAGGCCGGTTCGAGTTGAAGGAGCCCGGGTGAAATTTATTCACTTCAGTCGCAAAATTCGTTACTAACACAAATACAATTGTTTGAAGTACATTCCGTTTTTGAAAGTATATTCCGTATATAAATCATTGTTACTATTGTAACAATTCAAATTCATTTGCAAAATTTGGTTAATAATGCACCAATTATATACATAGAGCAGAATAAGACGACAAAAATGACACTCCTACTAGAGGAACTAGTGTTTCCCAATGACAGAAAGAAATTCTAAAAGAGGAACTACGTGGAATGGGCAAGTTTAATACAATACCCAGGGGCCTAGCCTTACTTGGTCCAGTGTGGGCCTAGACCCACACTGGAAAAAAAAAATATCATCTTATATACCCTACTCAAAAAATAATTTAATACTCCTTTAATAAAATAAAAAATAAAATAAAAAACAAATGGAACATAGAAGGGAAAAAATTGATAATGGGGAAAAGAAATCACGTTCTTGTTAATTTTGGTGAAAGTTAATCTAGTCCTTCTTTTATTAGATTTGATATAAAAATAAAAATTATAACTTGTAGTTAATTGATTGTTGTTTCTTAAAAGGCTGTTAACATATTTTAATTTTGTGTGACTATAACTTGTACGACTCTTAAAAGTTTGATATATTAGATACAAAATTTTATACATTATAATTTATTTTTACACATCAAATTATGAAAAGTATTTTTTTTTTAATTATTCTTGACAAAAAAAAGTGCATGTTAATATATTTTAAAATTAGCTACTTTTAATCCAAAGACTAAAAATTAGCTACTAAAAATACTTTCCAAAGACTAAAATTGGCTACTTTTAATATTTATTGTAAAGTTATACCAAACTATGAAAATTATGAATATGTGTTTTTGTATTTATACTTTGTTATAATGAATTATATTTGTTTTCTAAAAACAAGTAGGCCCCTCATTTTATGAGCTTGATCCGCCCTTGACAATACAAATACTTTTCAATTAGTATTGATGTGCGTCTTTCTTTTTACAATAACTTTCAATTTAAAAATTACAACATGTAAGAATAGGAAATGGCTCGCACAATTCAATCAAACTGGTATACTAAGTGGAACTTGTAAAACACAAACTAAGTTCCAGATGTACTAAAACTCAATACAAGAGACGAGAAACCAAATGACACTCAGACAACAACATAAAGAGCAGAGAAGATATCATTGTCAGTCTGAATATAAACTGACTTTATTCGTACAACGTAAATGCTAATCACCACACAAATTATTAAAATACAGCAACCCCGACAAATCTCCAAATCGGAACTGATATTGATTAGTCGTTACCGATCCAGGGCAACGACTGAAGATGGCTGATTGTTTTACTATCGAGCTGGAAAGATTTTGTGAGAAGGTCCGGCAAAACAGAGGGCTCTGACCCAAATACAGCCTTGGACAAGGTCACGACTCCCGGGTTTTGGCTGCTCAAACTCGCTATAGCAACTGCATTAGTGCTCCCAAGGTTGTACTGGAAATGTATGAGTCCCTTAGGGAACAAAAACACATCTCCTGCCTGCAGGATCTTCGTGTAGAGCTTGTTCTCGTCGTTCGGGTTTGTGGGGTTGGATGATATGAAGCCTGCGTATAGCGTGCCTTCAAGCACAAGTAAGATTTCCGAAGCATGGGGGTGCACGTGCGGCGGGTTTGTTCCCCCCGGGCCAAAGTCAATGCGAACCATGGAGATGCCAAGGGTGTTGAGCCCCGCTAGCTCGTCCACGAAAACGAGAGTCACTTTGGACCCGAAGGGGCTCGTTATGTTTCCGGGCTTGTTGAGGCCGGAAAAGAAGAAGTCGTCCGAGGTCACCGTGTTTGGATCCTTGCAGATCTTCCCGTTGACGTATACTGCACGTGTTGCATCGAATCCATATGTTACATAAATCATTATTAATTGTGCTACATCAAATTTCAATTTCAAAACAGAAAACAAATCCTATTACCAGCAGCCTTAGAGTCATCGACCGCAACACAGAAGTCTTGTAAAGGTTCGGCGTCATATGCATCGACGTGTAAGGACGACAAGAGAGCAAGTAGAGCGATCACTAGTAATATTGTGGATTTAGCCATCTCTGATGACACTTTAATCATGGAATAAGGTTAAGGTTTTTTTTTTTTTGTGGCTGTAGTGTAGTATAACAGATTTTGTGTCTGTATGGATGCAGCTGAAGAAATCAGCGGTATTTATAGATGAGTGGCAAAGGGATAGTGTTATTATTTAATAGGTAATAAATTATTAAAATATGAGATGCTACATTACAGACACGAGGTGACTGACTGACTGACGGCTGAGAGACCAAATGTGATCAAATTTCCGTTTGAAGCAAAAACCAATTTTAACATTTCAACATCAACAGCAGATAAATGGTTATTTGAACATCAATTTTTTTTATTTTTTATTTATTTTTTTATTTATTTTTTTTTTTTTTTTTGTGTGTGTGAAAATAGATTAGTTGTTCTGCGAAAATCCCATTGAAAAAAAAAAAAAAAATGAAAACGAAACAAAAATCAGATTGTTTGTAAATATATCTAAATTTGAATGTAACACTTCAATTGATTATTAAGTTTGTGTCCGAAAATCTGATATCGGCTGCACTGAACTATATTCAGTCTTATGCGGAAGGAAAGGAAGTATATTAATTTTAATATAAACAGGAATTCGTGATCATTCATTATTTCTATACTTTAGAATTTTTGAAATTCTTTTGTATTTTATTTTCAACTAGTATGTATATGGTGCAATTACTCGATATTCATACGAGAGTGACGAGCCGTAATTTTGAGCTGGTCATTTCTTCACACAAAAAAGAAGAAAAGATAAAGGTGTTGAAGTGTTCGCGAGGCATTACGGAGGCAGTTTAGGAGATTTAAATCAAGCTACTGCCAGGAACGGAGGTACATTGTAAAGTACCTGGGCTGTAGCCCGGGGAAAATTTGGAACAACTTGAGGATTTTTATATACAAAATGAAGCAAATTTTTATTGTAGTCCACCCCTTTTCACAGCCACGTAGCCCAAGCAATTAATAAATTAAAATAAGACCAATAAGACAAGATCCTATATTTGAATTACCATTTACTTAGCTATTAAAATTATTCAATTAATGAGTCTAATAATTAAAAGTTAAACGTTGTTGAATACTCTATTTTTCTTTTGGGAAAACTTTGTGAGAAATCTATTTTATGGAAATATATTGTGAAAAAGAATGTTAACTTTTTCTTAGTTTAGGTATAAGTATTCTTTTGTTCGTATTTTATACATATCTTGAGTTAAATTTAATATTAATAATTTTTTGATAATATATAAATAGATATTCATATTGAATGTAAAAAAATAAATATATGCTATTTATTAACTATTATTATCAAATAAACACAACGAAAAAATAATGAAATTTTAATAGAAAATTCCAACAATAATAAATTTTAATTTCCAACGACAATTTCAATGGACATTCAATTGCTATTATTTTCGTTGAAATTTTTCATTTGGTTCAATAGATTCAATTGCTATTATTTTCGTTGAAATTTTTCATTTGGTTCAATAGATATTCCAACAAAAGTAATCTGTTAGAATAAATTTTTTATTGGAATTTCCGTTGGTACCGTTGCAATAGAAACTGTATATATTATTAGAATATCCATTGAATATGTTATTGTGGATTTTTTCGTTGAAATATGACATTTTTAGTGATGAGCTATTTTAGCATAAAAAGTGTTATTTTAGGGTTAATTTAGTAAATATAATTTCACGATATACATATTATTATTTATCTACAAAAATTACATTTTTTTAATTTAGTTATTAATTTATCCTTTTCACATATAGTACGTGGCTATCTTTTTATGTGTTTTATTTTTATTAATAGTAAGTTAAAAATTAAGAGACTCATAAGTTGAAATACTAAATCATGCTAGTAAAAAATAATTTAAAAAATAATGTTTTTTAATCTAAATAATTCCAGCCCGGGTAGATTTCAAATCCCAGCTCCGCCCCTGGCTACTGCCAGACGTTCAAAGACTCCTAAAGAGTGCAAATGTCTGTTTCAGATAGCAGTCCAACGGTGGCACGATCTATAACTTGGAAGATCCGTCAAATTAATAGATGGTCGTAGGAGAATGCATAAACATGCATTCAGGGCGGATCCACGTGTAGTTTAGGAGGCCATTGTCCCCCCCAAACTTTTAGTTTTGTACTTTGTATATATATACATATTATAAGCATTTTGTCAAATTTTTATCTTTTACTACATAAATAAAGAGTATAAGCAAACTGAATAAATACTTACACCCAATAATTATTACTAATTCTGATATTAATTATTATGTTGCTTTGTCTATCAATCATTTTTAAATACATTATTTTTCTAAATAGTTTTTCACTCTCCATCCATAGTATTTGGTGTATTTTCTTTGTAATATAAGATTTAATTAATTTGAATGTATGATATATGAAACATCATAAAATAAAAAAAAAAAAAATTGTGAAATAGCAAAGCATGAGAGATATGCAATTTCGTGGGATCGAGAAGTAATCACAAGAACTATTAACACTGAATTAAAAAAAAATAAAAAAATAAACCGTTTAATTAGTCTTTTGATCTAAAATAAACTCAAGTAAAATTTTAAAATACCAAATTCGTTAAAGTAATTTTACTATTTATTTTAACTATTTAATATATAAAGAAATTGTATGCCTTATGTGTGTTATAAAAAGTTATATATCCCCTCTAAAGGTGTTATTCAAATGGAGTAAACCTGTTCAATCTTGTGTTTGATTGATAAATAAATCAGTGACTTGACTCGTTTAAAAACGAGTGAGATCCAACTCTGTTAATACACAAATTCGATTAAATGTTTGAAATTAGTTCGGGGAATTATGAGAATGGTAATTATGAGAATAAACTTAGCTCGAGTTTTTACGATCAAACTGAGATGTATTCGCA